CCCTGCATCACATTGCACTCCCTGCTCCATGGCAGCCTGCTTCTCCCTCTGCCTATTGCTCCCTCTGCTTGTGCGCTCTCTCCCTCTCTCTCTTTATCTCTCTCTCTGTCAAATGAATGCATAAAATCTTTTTTAAAAATAAAAAAATAGGGATCCCTGGGTGGCGCAGTGGTTTGGCGCCTGCCTTTGGCTCAGGGCGTGATCCTGGAGACCCGGGATCGAATCCCACATCGGGCTCCCGGTGCATGGAGCCTGCTTCTCCCTCTGCCTGTGTCTCTGCCTCTCTCTCTCTCTCTCTCTCTCTCTCTGACTATCGTAAATAATAAAAAAAAAAATTAAAAAAAAAATTAAAAAATAAAACCAAATCATCTTATTTTAAATCTCTCTTCACTCTATGCTTCTTCTCACGCTGAAAACTAATCTTTTGTAAGTGAAAAGCCCAAGAAAAATTAGATGGGAAAAAAACAAAACAAAACAGTGGAAACTAACTTTATAAATATGAGCAAAATGGGAAAGATGATTTCCATTTTTATAAACTAAGAACTGTTTTCAACAGCTTTCTGCCTTTAATGTATACTTTTACATAAAGCATGAATTCATTAGTTATGCTTCATGAGTATTCTTAAATAAATATTACTTTGTCTATTTGTCACCTTTGTTTTACCCTTTGCATATGCAATGAAAGTGGCCAAGCTTAAACATTAATATATGTCAGTGTGATTTCTATGTTAAGATTATAAAAGTCATGTGCACAGAAATATATTTGTTTCTTGGCTGAAATTTAATTTCTTTAAAAGCTAAATAACATAGAAACGTGCTTTTGATTCTTAAGTAGTGAAGAATGAAGCACTGATCCAAAGACGTCCCACATAGGACTACCATCTACAGATTTTAACAGCTCAAATTTAGCAATGTTTATATCAAATATTTAATTTACCAAATTTAAATCATTTAAATTAATTTAAATTTAATTATAGTGAAAGAAAGTGAAATGTATGAAATAATCAAACTATTCCAAAGAGAATACATAAATCGTTATTGGAATTAGAGGGATGAACCAACAATATACCTAGATTTTTGTTTTCTCTTAAAAATTTATTTACTTCTGGTCCTAACTCAACCTTTGGAACATTCTCATTTTCTATTGATATATACAGCTGTAGCAACTACTCAATTGTCTCCAACTATCAAAAATAAGATTTAAGGATTCATTTCATGTTTTCTTGGTAACCAATGCTTTTATAACTCCATTATAACGAAATAGGCACTTAAGAACCTTCATATTGAAATTTCACTGTGCTCATATATATGTGTTAAATTGGTATAAATGAATTCAGTAATTCTGTGATGAGCCTTTTGCTTAGGTGAAAATGTTCTTTGATTCATATCAATAATAAAATCATTAAGGAATTTGGGATTCAAATCGCTTATCAGAAATGTGTACATTTCAGGATATTTGAGCATGTGTAGACTAAATATAATATAAAGAGAAATATGATATATAAATACAATGTTAAGTATCTGAGTTTGACTCAGTAATAATATTGAATTATTATTTAAATACAGTTTTTATTTGGTGAATCTTCAGAACATAAAAATAATTGCTTCCATTCCCACTTAAATTAAGCTCCACTCTTTCCCTATTTTGCTGTCTGTTTTACAAAGGTATTCTAAAATATAAATGCGAAAAAAATAAAATAAAATAAAAATGCGTATGGATTGGCAAAGCATGTAGAGGAGATAGTAATTGATTTTCATTCGCCGTTGTCTCATTCTATTATATTTGTTTGCAAAATATTTTAATGAATGATATCTGATATATGCATATGCTCAGTATAACTCCTTCCTTGAATCCAGGGTCAAATTATAGTTCTTGGCTTGTACTGGAGTTAAGGTTAGGATTATATTCCTTTTGCTTTCTTTCTCTCTGATTGATCTTCCATTACTTTTTCCCATAAGAACCCTGAAATTATCTCTCAAAGGGACAATGAGGAGCCATGGGGAAAATATCCTTACCCTATATGACTGTAACTTCTCAGTCTGTGGTATCTGAACTGTAGGTTACAGCCTGTTAATCATTCTTGAAATCAATTTGGTGGGTCATATCCTGCATCTGTATTAATAAAATTATGTATGAAAAATATCAGAGTGCTTCAGAAGTAATAGAGCTAAATGCTTTTCTGTTAAACTTTTGTTTCACCCTGTGTGTGAGCAGGGGGGGGTGGCGGGGGGGGCATGTCAGTGTGCATTAGACTGTATTAAAACTGTGAATTTAGGTGTTGTGACCAGAAAACTCTAGTCTAATCACAAAATGATAGTGAATATCTTACTCTGGCCACGACAAATGCATTCATAAAAATATATTGGAATTTTCTTACAATATTTTGTTAAAAGCAGGCACCAACACGCCATAAATAAAAATGAGTAGAGCCAATCACTCCATCCTTACTGTCAGACTGTTGTTGGGTGACTGTGTGAAATGCCTGGCCTAATGAAGACTGTGACTATGGCAACTACAGAGGGTACCAAGCTGAGCAAACTACGGGAGAGGGGAGAGCTCTGGTGGGATCTAGCCACTGAATCCCTCCCCTCAGAACCTGCAAGCACCAACTAGTGCAGACTTCTAAAGCCACGTGTTTGCCAAGTGTTTTTCCTCCTGGGCTGAATCAGGCTTGTTCCACGAATAACAAGGCAGATGGGAAAAATACAAATTTTTTAACCCTTGTAAAACTATGTCACTGTTCCCTAGCTCTGTGTCTCCTAATGGTTGTCTTTCAATATTATATATTCATTTCTGAGAAGCCTTTTTGAACTAATTAGAAAGCAGGGAGTGGCACTCATCTTCCTTTTCTCTTAAAAACAGAAATCACTCGGTTCATTCCATACAACTTTTTGCTTAAAATACATATAATAATATATATATATACACACACACATTATATATACATTATATACATTACATACATTAATAGTTATATATATACACACATACATATATATATATAAATGTCCACCTTTTGTTATTAATACTCTTTCTCATCATTTTCTAACATCCATTAGCTGCTGCAGAAGATAGGGATCATCTTTTAACTCACTTCTTAAGGCATTTGGGACAGTTAAAAATGCATGTAATGAAATTCTATTAGGAAGAAAAATGACACCATTCTCTCTCAAAATTATATATTTAATTTCCCCCAAATTATATTTTTTTCATATTTTAAGAAGGATTTTATGGTACCTATATGTTCCTCAATGACTTTTCTTTTTAAAACTTGCACAAATGTGAACTGTAAAAATGAATACATTGTCCTTTTGCCTTTTTGCTGCCTCCCTCCGAAATCCCTGTTATGCTCCCCTCTTTGGAAGGCCAAAATAGCAATGCCTTTGAGTGTTTCTCCTCTGGGAGCTTTTTGCATTTCTTTCTGTGAAAGTCTAGACAGACAAATATCCTCTTCATGACTTGGCTGCCTGTGCAGTCTCTGCGTGGTTTCCATGGCCTTCTCTCGCACAAGGACAGATCCCATTACATTGCCTGTATTGAGACCCCTTCTGCTGGGATTTGGAATGCTCCTAGGTACTGTGCAGAGGCCAGCAGCCCTGCATCCTTAGTTAGATGCATGTTTCACATTCATCATAGGCTGTATTTTCGCTAGGGGATGGATCTTAGGTATTCTGCGAAACAGCCAAAATGCATCTTCCTACCCATCCTCTCCCCACACTAGACTCTCCCTTTATGTCCGTATCTCTGTACCTCATCTTCTGTCTCCTGGCTTCTCTTCTACATCTGCACCCCCAAATTCCTGAGGCTCTATGTCAGCAGCGAGCATGGCACCAGACATTTCTAACCTACTTTTCTCTCTTGGTACTTGGCCTCTTCTGCTTTCTGCTCTAGACCTGAAAAGTAAATCTGGGACAGTCTGGTCATGTATAGTGTGGTGTCCTTTTCAGGTAACATAGTTTCATTTTTATAGATAATATAAAAATGTGTGTTCTGGATATAGAACATTGGTGGAATTTTGAGTAATCTGGTGGTACATGACAGAAAATTTAATCAAAAAGTGTCTTTTGTCTTTCATTTCTTTTTTTTCATTTAATAGATCCCACAAATACTTTTTTCTGTGATTCTCAGTTAATCCTATGTGAATGTCTACCTCTTCATCTTATGCTTATATCCAGGTTCCTGTATATTTGTAGATTAATAGAATTATTCTCTTCTTACATTTGAAGTGAGGGAGGGAAAACCTGTCAATTTAGATGAGTAACTAGTAGGGATTTTAAATTTCTAATTTTTTTTTATTTGGTTCTTGTGATGGATCATGATATACAATATTTATGCAGTGCTTATTACAAACCAGATACTTTATTAATATCATTTTATGTAACACTTAGAGTAACTGTAAGAGGTATGTCATATTATTATATCCATATTATGGATGAGTAAACCAAGACCATATGGTTTATCAATAGTTTGATAAAGCTAAGAGTGGTGAAGCCAAGCTTTGACATACATGTTCTGTCAAACTATTGTGTTCATTAAAAAGCAATCAAGTTAAAGGTAGATGCATGCAACTTTTTTTTTTTTTAGTTTGCAGATGCATATCAGCTTTGAAAATGAGCATTTACCGATGTGAATCTGACTTTATTCCAAAGGATAGTGTATAATGTCAACTTCTCCTTCTTTCTTTCTTGACTGAACTGTTGGAGAGTGATATAGAACGCTGAGAATATATAGGAAGAAAGAGAACTTTCTTTCCTTCTTTTTTAAATCTTTTTTTCTTTTCTTTACTAAACTGTTAAAGGCTGACAAACACTCTTTGTTGGCCATACACTTTGGTTTTCATTCCCCCTGGGAAGGATAAGCCACACGAGGAACAGAAAGAATAATCAGAACTGTCTGCTCTCAAGGAGTGTACCCATAGGCAGATGAAAGAGAGAAAGGGTGATTTTTAGAACATGTTGCACTTGGTAAAGACCCATGTGTTCTCTTGTCTCTGCAACAGGTACCATTTCTGTCAACACACTGCGCACGCCCTACACTGCGCCTGGTGAGAGCGAGATTCTGGACCTGGATGATGAGCTGTACCTGGGGGGCTTGCCAGAAAATAAGGCCGGCCTCGTCTTCCCCACTGAGGTGTGGACTGCTCTGCTCAACTATGGCTACGTGGGCTGCATTAGAGATTTGTTCATTGACGGCCAGAGCAAAGATATCCGGCAAATGGCTGAAATTCAAAGTACTGCTGGAGTGAAGCCCTCCTGCTCAAGGGAAACAGCAAAACCGTGCCTTAGCAACCCTTGCAAAAACAATGGCATGTGCAGGGATGGGTGGAACAGATATGTCTGTGATTGTTCCGGAACAGGCTACCTTGGCAGGTCCTGCGAGAGAGGTAGGATTCCAAAAACCAAGCAGCTGACTCCCCTGAGACGAAAAGTGTATTAAATGTTGACCTTAGACCTTAAACTGACCATGGAAGCACAATGTATCCTCTGCTGTGGTAAACTCCCTGCGAGCCAAGCAGCCACACATGACATATTACTGATGTGTCCTAAGTGATTTTCAGAGGGGCTGATTCTGGGAGACGTAGACTTTTAAGTATATTGCAGGAATAAATATTTGAGTCTTTTGCATCCTCGAGACTATGGTCTTAAGATGTACAATTGACAACAACAGCCGTCTGTTTTGCCCAGTTTTTAATTTCGGGACACTACAAAGTAAAGAAAGTATGAATTAGGGATATGTGTAGCATCCAGTGCTAAGATCTATGGCCAGAAGAAGAGCACGTGAGACAAGCTAGGCTGTTAAGTTGCAAATTCTCCAACGGTGTGGCTTGAGAGTTCAGTTAACCTGCTCATTTCACTTCCCTCAACTTATCCAAGTTTGAAATTTAGAAAGTGAGGTGACTTCCAATCATCTAATTTACACCAACATTTTCAGAAGTACACCCTAATCTCAAAGACACCTTTGCCTAGGACCTAAGTGATTACAGAAGACATATTTGCCTATATGGTATTAAGTTCTGGTGTGTCTGCTGAATTTCTGAGCAGCTGCCTCCTTTTCTTATCTAGTAGGAAGCAAAGCCACATTCTCTTTTCTTTTCCTGTCCCATTAGAAGGAGAAGAATGAGGATTAGAGGAAGAATGAAGAGTGGTAGCTCCCACCATTTGTCGCAGGGGGAACAGCACAGAAACAAAGTCCTCCCATCGACCTAACAATTTCAAATAAATGCTTTAGTCACAATACCCGTTGCCACTCATTTTCAACAATGGAACAACAACAACAAAAAAATCAATATGGAAAACTGCCGATGAGTTGCTCCATTGACCTCTCAATGCTCCAAATGACTTCGCTGTGTTAGACACTTAGCCTGAAAGCACCAGGCAGGTCTTGTTTAAACCATGCACATTTAGTCTTCTTTCCCCCTTTCAATGTGATATAGTTTAATTCGTCTAAGCTTTCTAGAGAACAAAAACAGCAATTTTCTTAGAATCTGAAGTTGAAATGTGACTTCGGTTCTTTATCTTCATCAGCTTATCAATTCTGTTATTAACATTAATCAATACAAAAACTATAGCAATAATTTCATAATCTAATAGTGATCTTCTATTACCTACCAAAATACTATCACTGTTCTGTGCTCTTCAGAGGTAGATAGGACAACAGATGGGTGAGTATTTTAATCACATAGATTCATTCCTTCTCCTAGTACCAAATTGCAATTCCTATGAATTGTTGTTAGAGGTTAGCTATTTCTGTGTAGCTTCACTTGTACGGTGTATATTCTCTATGAATTCCCTCTTCTCATTTCCCCTTCTAACTTCAGTTTGTTTCTGTAGTTTGGTCTTTAGAAACTGCCAAAGGGAGCCAAACAACGACCACCAGAAAGGCTTGTAAATATATAACAAGTTAGTCATAATGTGGGATTAGCAAACCTGTATGATTTAAGCTTTTGTTTTCCTTTTAGTCACTCAGAGAGCTGCCAATTATTCTGACACCTCCTGCTTACGTGAAGCTAGAACAGGATATAACCGAACTGTCACGCAGATTTCAAAAGCCTTCAGTTAAATATGCGCGGTGTACCACCCTGTGGCAATATCCTGCTACTACATATGGCAGATGTAAAAATAGAAATTGTCAAGCTTCCTAAGCCAGAATGAGGGAAAGGGAATATTTATATTTTGCAATAATTAGAAGGAGGGGTGGCAAGCATATGTAGATTTGCAAATGAGAATTTAATAGCAAGCTTCATCACTCGGATTCAGCATACATTTTTATCTGACAGGTGGCTAGAAATTTCTACAGATTTCTTTGTCTCTAGGTTGGTTGTGTGTTGAGGAAAAAATGGTCATTTTTGTGTGATTTTTGTTTCCTGACTACCCAGCATATTGTTAGAAGTCTTTGTTTTTCAGAATTAATTTTCTTGCTCACATTATGGTATCTCCTGAGAACAGCGGTGATGTGGGATGCTTGTCATGCTCAATACCACAGAATTTGGCTTCTGTCCAGTTCCTAGCTATGCCCTAGTTCAATCAACACAACATTGTGCTCAACCCTTGGGGTTTCTAATTCAAAAGAAAGAGCTTTGACTGTGGTTTGTCTCCAGATAAGCTCTGATCACATTAGGCTGTTAATCACATAAGAGTTGATTGACAACTTTTAAAATTAAAAATAAATAAATAAATAAAGGTAGTAATCGTCTCTTTCTTACTATCATTGAGCAATAATTGATAATTAATAAATATTATTATTCAAAGTAATTAAAAAGAGTGGTCAAGCCCTTGGGTAATGCAGCATGGGGAATGATATCGCAGTCATATCACTATGGGAAATTTTTATTCTGCATTAAGTAAGCTGAGGAATTTATAAGAAAGAACAATATTTGCTGACTTCAGCAACTAGGAAAACAGTATTTTATGTGTATTGATCCCATAAGGAAGAGTAATATAGAAATAATGTTCAATTGGATATAAATTAAATTCAGCATTTTCCCTCCCACTTTATTTTTAATAAAGCTGAGGATTTGTGGAGACTTGACCATATAGAAATTATTCTTGGTTATGTGTATATGTTGTAATCAGAGGTCTGCTTTATACTTGTTTGTTAAAACTCTAACAGATGGAGGGACAGATGTCAGAGCAATATAATTTGGCTCCCTGTCTGATTTTCATCGTTGCGCACAATATGTGACTGCCTTTAGGCAAAACTGAGCACAGGTGTACACTTTAGAGGGCAAGAAGGAGTAATACAGAAAAGCAAATTTATCAAACTTAACGACAAGAGGGAAGGAGATGCAGGAGACAAAGCTCAAACTTTTCTCCCCCTCTGGGAAGTATTGTATGGGAATTAGCCTTTTAAAGTGCTCTTTTGTGTTCTAAGTGGTAAAATACTTTTACTAATGTGAAAGGATCTGCCAAATAGCATAACCTTCAAATGTCAGAATGTTGTTTACCATTTATTTGGCAACTCTAGACTCCAGCCATGTGCACTTTCCATTTCTTGTCTAATTAAACATTAACTCTAATTATGAAGAATCATTTAGGTGTTCATTTATCGTTTATCAAGAAGTTATTTTCACATTGAGAATTATTTAAAATGTACTCAAGTTTTATTACTTTACTATGTTATTTCATTCAACATTCATTGGATAATGTTACAGGCTAATGATCCTGATTATTTTTCTACTTTGAAATGTATTTCATACTATGTTTATGATCCACTGTCAGTCATCTATGTTTCTGAAAGGATGTTCCCCCCTACTTAGTTTTTAATCAAATTAAGTTGCATTTTATAGAAGATTATAAAATCATTTTTCAAAGTGTGGTTATTGAATAATACACACTAGACCTACAGACTAAATACATAGAAGAAGACTAACAACATTTTAATTCTTTTATCAATTGATAAATGACTCTTAAATGAACTGAGCAATTGATAATGACTCTTAAATGTTTATTTAGGTTTTTGTTGCTCTATAGATATGGACAATAATTGGCTATAGTTTAAGCAAAGAAACAGTAAAGATGAAGTTTCCTTTAAGCTTGTACAAGAAACACGTTTTTTTCCGGAGTTTGTCATAGCTTTACAATCATGTTTTAATTATTTTTAATTAATTAATTAATGTATTTATTTGAGAGAGTGTTTGTATAGGAGAGGCAGAGAAAGAGGAAGAGAATCTCGAGCAGACTCCCAGCTGACTTTGGAACCCAACGTGGGGCTCTGTCTCACAACCCTGAGATCATGACCTGAGCCCAAATCAAGAGCCAGATGCTTAACTGACTGAGCCACCCTGGCACCCCTTAATTATTTTTTTAACTAAACTACTACTAGCTTTTCTTTTAGGATACTTCTTATCTAATAACAAAAAATATGTGGCATAACGAACCACGATATTTTAAAGAATAGTATTTTATTTTCTCAGAGTCAGGTGAGTGCCTAGCCACAGGAATTGTATTTAATAAATGGACCTGTTTCCTAGTCTGTTGTCTATGCCACAGTATGTCCTTCAAAGTAGACTTCAGCAAATATTTTGTTCACATAAATTACCAAAATTAGATTCCACTTAAAATAGGCAGAGTAAAAACTTTATTTTTTAAATAATATATTTCTTATTGGTGTTCAATTTGCCAACATACAGAATAACACCCAGTGCTCATCCCGTCAAGTGCCCCCCTCAGTGCCCGTCACCCATTCACCCCCACCCCCCGCCCTCCTCCCCTTCCACCACCCCTAGTTCATTTCCCAGAGTTAGGAGTCTTCATGTTCTGTCTCCCTTTCTGATATTTCCTACCCATTTCTTCTCCTTTCCCTTCTATTCCCTTTCACTATTATTTATATTCCCAAATGAATGAGACCATATAATGTTTGTCCTTCTCCGATTGACTTATTTCAAGAGTAAAAACTTTAGTGAGCATTTATGTGAGCTTGATATCCAACCTAAATAAGCTCTTTCATATATCTTCTGTATCGAATGCAATCATTAATTCAATTAACTACTTACTGAGGCTCTCCTGTGTGCCTGGCCCTTTTCAGGAAAGGGCACTCAGCTGCTGCTAGAGCAGTGTATAGGAGAGCCTAACCTCTGCCCTTACAACACTTATATTCTAAAGGGTGAAAGGGGTAACAGTATAGAAACGAATAAGAGGGATGCCTGAGTGGCTCAGCAGTTGGGAGCAGAGTCAGAGATACTTTAGCAGTAGGGTAAGAAGCGATTAATTCAGGAAATGGATTGGAATTAGAGACTACAAGACTTGAGACTTGAACATAGATTGGGCTTCACAGAGAGGTTAAGAGAAAAATCAGAAAAGCTAAGTTCTAAACGATGGGATTATGCCATTTACTAAGATAGAGAACATTGGTGAAGGAGCATGTTGAGTTGGTTCATGTGGAGGGTGCCAATAGTATTCAAATTTAGTGGGCAGTGGATGAAGAAGCTCAGGAGAGAAGTCAGGGCTGTTAATAAATATTAGGGGGGGTTGACCAAGATCCTTAAGTCAAGAGGTAGGCAGAAGAGAAGAGCACCAAGAAAGGAAGGAATCTCCATTCTTTATTGGTTCTGGATGTGCATTCAGTCCCAAGATGACAGCAACTAACAAAATCTATCAGAAGCAGCATTAGGCTCTCTTGACTTTTTGAAAGACAAACTTGCAAAACCACAACTCCAGAATATAGTCCTAATAGTAAGCAGCTGTATCAGTAAAGCTAATAATCATTGCGCCATGTAAATAGACAAGATAATGAGAATTTCCTAGTTTACTTTAATTCCAGGTAGTTTTTCTTTTATTAAATAGTATTCTGAGTGGTCAGAACCAATGAGAAAGCAGAATTACTCATACTTGTTTTTCAATGTTCCAACACCATATGGTGTCTAACATTAAAGGTGTTCTTTCTTAAGGCAGTTTGTGATCAACCGTTTCTTACTGTCCTCCTCTTTATGTGTTTAACACAGTATTAAGCAACTGCTGTCTTAAAGCAGTCCACTTTAGTTCAGTAGCGCACACCCACACAAGCAGACCCACCCCCATGCTTATTCAGTATTACCAAAGTACATAATTATTGACTTCTTGGTGAAAGCTTAATAGTTTTAGAATGCCAGGGTAGTGCTTACAGAAGATGTTCTCAGTTACCCTTTACCTGTAAATAAAGCTTAAAATAAAGTTTCAGTTTGCGACTTTGTAAAAAATTAATTACGTTGTTAAACAAAGTGACTCAGAAGGAGCATCTCCTGTTGTTTGGACATACTGTTTTTTCTTCTCTTTTTGAACACTTTTGGTAAAACATGGACCTTTCTTCTACACTTAAGTCATTTCTTTTTCTGTTTTTGATCCTATTAAGGCAGAGATTATGGAAGGACATAATGATAGCCACTTCTCTTAGAATCACCGACTTTTAGGGTAGGCAAAGGCCTTAAAGAAACTCTACTATTACCTCCTCATTTTGTTGCTGGAAGATTTGGAGCTAATTTTGCAGAGCTAGTCAGTGGCCTAGCCATATATATACATGCATTAAGTAACTGATAGTGCTTCAAACCAGGCTCACATTGCATCTACACACAAATGAATATGATCTCTGCCTTGGGAAGGGAGACATATACATAAACATTGATAATCCAGCATGGTTAATGCTATTAGATGAAAGGCTATGTGACCAGAAAGGAAGTGGCACCATCTCTGTGTCTCTACTTTAGCAGATACTTCACAGAAGTTCTCTTCACTGTGACTTCTCTTTCAGGCTTAAAAAAAAAAAAAAATTGTTCATTTCTGAGGAAGATGAGTTGTGTGTGTAAAGTTGTGTTCTACCTGGAAGCTGTTAATAGGTCACGCTTTTCCTTTTCAAAGTATAAAGGCACCAAACTGACCGAGAACTTTTATCTTCATTTCCCATCTGTAGAGGCCACGGTTCTGAGCTACGATGGGAGCATGTTTATGAAAATCCAGCTCCCAGTGGTGATGCATACAGAGGCGGAGGATGTGTCCTTACGGTTCCGATCCCAGCGTGCATATGGCATTCTCATGGCAACCACCTCTAGAGATTCCGCAGACACCCTCCGCCTGGAGCTGGATGCAGGCCGTGTGAAACTGACGGTCAACCTAGGTAACAACTCGCCTTCCCCCATAAAACTAATATTTTTCACTTTTTGTTCAGTTTTGCCTGCAAACATTTATCAAGTAGCTTGTTTTGCCATGGAAAGTTAAAACACTTAATGGTCTCATTTTCATCATTTAAATTAATTTAGGTTTTGGGGGCATCTTCTTATTGTTTCATTTTGACATAATTTACCATTTTGTGATTTCTACCACTGAGGATTCTTAAAAGGGAAGCCATATATATCAGTGAGGTTAATTTGAAAGTATAAATTATTAGGCTTGAAGAGGCCTCAAATAATTTCCATTGTTATATTTACTAATATTTGGATTTGCTATAGAGGATACCCTTTCAGATAAATAAAAATCCATCTAGTTTTACTTAGATGACATATGCACGAATATCAAATTTCTACTTTGTGATGCAGATCAAGAGTTGCTTTTACTCTGCTCCCTGGGCTTCTCCTTTGACTAGTCACCTTTGTGGTACCCCATCTTTTCTGTTTGGAAATACTGTGTGGTGATATTTTGCTATCAAACAGCAATCCACAACCCTTCAATGCCCAAAGACTGCGGCCCGTAGCAAACAGCCATGAGAACACTAAAACACAGGCTCTTCTACAGAGAAATAATGCTTTCCTGCTTAATTGTAGCATTAGGGAAGAGTGACTACAGTAAAACCTCAATAAGCTGTATGAAATATGGGGGAAGGCTAGGCTGAATTAAGAAAGAGTCTGAATTGTAGACTTAAAAAAAACTACCCAGCTTTGTTTTCAATTACATTCAAAAACATAAATTGATAGCTAGAAAGGCTTATGAAGGAAAGGTCCTACCAGGCTGATTTTGATGGGTGGATAAGAATTATCGGCAATTAGGACGTTGTTTCTAATACAAGTTGCACCATCATTGTACAGTGATGTACCACAATTCAGTTTTCTTCCTGAAGTTGATCTTCTCACAACCTGTTTGCTTAATTTTTCTCAGGCAGTCTCTGTTCATATAGAATTATAAATATTCTGCCCAATAAGTTTCATTATTATCATTAGCTCCAAGAGGAGTACAAATTAATGAGGTTTTACTGTATTTCCTGAAAGTGCTAAACACACACACACACACACACACACACACACACACACAAATAAATAAATAAATAAATGGAGAAAGAAAAATAAAATTTGAAACATAGGTTTACAAAAAGAGTAGTAAAACGTGATGAGGTAAAGCATTTGTGGAAACTCTACCTACATTTTCAAATTGTGCTGGGCAGAATGGTAGCTCATAAAATATAAGATTATTTCAGGGATAGCTTATTGCATACAATTACATTCAATTAATATTAGTTAAATTAATAAGGGTGTTTTTTAAAGATCGCTGAAGGACACGCTGCACGGTCGTTGACTGTTCTGTTAGAGTTCCCTCTAGTGACAATGAGAGGTTACTACAACAAATCAAAGGGAATTGCCTAATTGCAGTGAAGGGGCTGCTCACCAAAGTGGAAACTCATGGAAATTTTCCAACAGCAAAGCATTCTGTGGAAAGAGCTGTGTAGGTGCTGGTCCTTGGCTGTTTGCAACCACTTTTCTGATGCGGTTGACGACACATGACAAACTCAGCTATATGGAAACAGAATCTAGGTTTATATTTTTCATGTTCCCCAAAGGCATTAAATATCACAACTAAAACCGAGTATTTATCTATACACAACCATAAGACATCCCACAGCAGTCCTTTAAAGATAACCCTTATAATCACAGTCTGTGTTATTCAGATCAGACATTCTGTTCGTAGAGGATCTGGGTGTATATAAGAAGCAAGTGGAAGAAAAGGAAAGTCAATACCAGTGTTAACCATGACACTTACTACATAGAGATAACATTGTTAGCTCCTGAGAGACACAGGCGTGGGTGCTCTGAAGAATGACACTACTCCTTAGCCACTGGAGGCTTCTAAAGGAAAACACAATTCTTTCTTCCTTCCTCCAATTAATGCAAGGCATAGAATCCAGGCAATATTTGGCCGTTACCTTTTTTTCTTTTTTGCCTAAGCAAATAATAATAACAGAAATAAAATACATTAGGGTGAGATTAGAATAATTGCAACCTTTTCTCCATTTGACCACCACAATTCTCAAGAGTCCTTTGGCCTTTGTGGGATATTAGACTTTGAAGGTCCAAGATGTCTGAGCCTAGCTGGGCTTGCACTGTACCCCATTGTGACGGAGCACTTTTTAATTATGCTGAAAACAATGATATGTTCTTTCACAGATGGGGAGAAAGTCGCAGCCAGTCTAAGCCAAACATCTTTGACAGTTAACAGCTCTTTATTTCACTTAGATTTGTCACCATGTAGCTTTGTTTGAATTGGCCATTTTAAAAAAAAAAAAAAAAAAGAAAAACCTTCTATTGTTGTTTCCAATGTACAGTTCTATAACAATGAATCTGGGTTCTAGAAGTCTGTAAAGAATAAATGATATGGAGTGGCCATATTTGCATGTGTCTGTCCCCGGAAGGGTGGACTGTGATTTTATTGGATGTCTGCAGCTATTACCTTGAAGGATAAATTTTCATTTTTCATCTATTCTTCCCCATCTAGATTGTATCAGGATTAACTGTAATTCCAGTAAGTGCCTATTCAAAATTCTTAAAATGTTATTCCTCCATTATGATGTAAGCTAGTCCAGAACAAAATGAGAGCAGGAGAAAGACGTTTCTAAAACTCATGAATTCACTTTTGAAGTATATCAGTCCATCATCTGGGTTGTAAAAATTCATTTTGAAATCAGTCCAGCTGAAGACTTTTCTGCTGTGGTTCCTACGTCGAGGTGGGAAAAGAGATGGCAAATATTTTACAGCAGACGGTGCACATGCCTCTATAGACCTGTGAATAAGGCAAGTGACATTTGTGTTTTGCTTGATTCTTGGACTCCAGTGGCTCTCTTCATCACCAAATTAGGAAAAAAAATGTTGTGGGTTGTATTTCCTTCACTTTCTGCTTTTATCTCTTAACTCAAAATATAGGGAAAAAATTGGATTCCTTTCATTTTGAGAGCTACTATTAAATTCTTCTAAATTCAACTTAGAAAAATTTATTTTTCAACATTATATATATGTGTGTATAAAGAAAATTACTTGTCTAAGTTTTTTCCTGTTCATTAAGAGTATTGATATGATGAATTTTTACATCCTCATCACATATCTGCAAAAATAATCAAACCCCTTCAAATCTGTGATATGCATGCCAAATGATGAGTCAGAAAAGATGCATGGACTGAGTTTTATTTGACTATGGACTAGAGAACCTGTAAGGCTATGAGGACTGTGATTTTATTTTGAGTTGTAGCATTACCTTAAGAGTAAATTTATTTTATTTCTTAACATAAATGTTTAGGTTTTTTTTTCCTTTCCAGTTTTGCTGACCACATTAAGGACTCTCCTCCAATGATACCAAAGCTGTTAGCTATTTAAATAAAATGGTTCTAACAAGATTCTAATCTCTCATTGTTATAGTCAGTGAGAACAAACATTTTCTATATCCTTGGAAAGTGCTGAATGTGAGTTGATGAAGTCTACTCCCAAAACCATTGCTGTGTTTGCAAATAGCAATGTCATCCTTTGAGGAACAAAATGGTGGTCTTAAATGTACAAAGCAATGAGCTTTATCTAATGAAATGCATACTATTTTGAACACCATGCTTCTTATAACTCAGATTTGTCTTCAAGCATTTCAATATTCATTTTAAAGTAATATAAATGTGAATCTTTTTCAATCATAGCCATAAAAAGGTAACTGAATCATGACCTATGAAAAGTTAAATTGATAATCTATCATACAAGGCATTAAACAACATTTCAAACAAAACAGTTCCTGAGATAATCTCTCAAAGCTCTCACACAAATGACTTTTTCACATTTACATCATTTCCTCTCAGACCCCATCCCACACTTCCTGACAAGGAGCACAACTTTTGCCAGACTCACACCATGGCCCAATTTGCTTTCAGCTCTGGGGCACTGATCCAGGCAAAGTGGCAATCACAAAATACTTTTCCAAAGCTAGATTTGTGCCTTAATATAGTTATAGATGTTCTTGATACATCTTAAGTCTTAAAAAATAATGTGATTAAAATATTCCTTTCTAGCCTCCTGTTTTATGTACTCTTGTTTATTTATATTAAGCATACAATAGAGCATGGATTTTTAAATTTAAAAAATGTAACTATATAAACTCCAGTATTTGGAATTCTAGTATGGGAATTAACAAAATCGAGTGTAATTATGTGTTTTCTAGCTATACAGATGATTTTTTTAAATATGTATTTATAGTCTAATTACCCTTGTTAGACAGTTTTCTTCATTTGGCTTATATTACAAGATTCTAACATTAAGCACAGTGTTTTTTTTTTCCTCTGGATATTCCACAGAATAATACCTTTGAGGACAAAGGTTTTTGCTGGTTAGTGATTTTTTTCCCTTTTTAAGGAGTATGCATTACATGTAAATTACTTGAATTAAATGAATGATTGTGAGCTTTCAAGTGCACACCTCGGACAGGACTGCAAATGCCTTAACTTGACAGCAGTCACTGGAAAGAACATTCGATGAGCAGGTAACACTTTCATTTTCTTTTATTTGGGGAATAGTGGGCAGATGTGGCAAGAACCCCACGTTCCATCAAGAATTCATGCTATTATTACTCAACTTTAGAAGAAGGAGGAATTTACATATCAAATAATGCAAATCTAACTCAGTGATTAAATAAGCAGAGTAAAATAAAATAAAAAAAGAGTAAAAAAACAAAAAAAAATAAGCAGAGTGCATTTCCTACCCTATAAAAATATAAATTAAAATATCTGTATCTCAGTATAACTTGTAGTTTGAGATACTGATTTATTACATTATCCGCTGTGAACTTTAAGTTTGTCTGAAACCGAGATGAATGTACATTTATTAAATCACAACCATCTATCATCTACTACCATCTCTAAAAATTGTATCATACCTAAGATATTAACTGTATTATGAAATTAATAAGACATACCTCGTGTGATAACTTTAAGTAAGTTTCCAAGGCAAATATACAAACTATAACATAAAGAATTATCTTACATTGAGAATTAATATTAAACTCTAAATTATTAAGGTTGGATGGAAACATTTTCAAACTTCTCTACACTTACTCAGAATTGTTCTGCTGTTTCCTTTGGTGGCTCCATCCTTCTTCACCCCTCCCACCCCCACTCCAGCATAGAGCAGATATTACTTGATAAGGAAAAGAAAATATATATAGTACCAGACTATTCGATCTTGTCCCTTGAAGAATAGATAGTAAGTAAAGAGGAAAGAAGATCTAGCTGCATATATTCAGACGCATGAGATTATATGAGATGGCAGGTGCATTTCTTTATCGGCCATTTCTAGATCAGTAGTTCAGATGCAGCAATACAGTCTTTGGTGGACAGGTCAGGGCACACCCTTTTGTTCAGGTTCTTTGGAGAAAGGGCAGATTTGAATCCCAGAGACCATCTCTGGCAGATTCTTTGTTGCCATCATTTTTCCCCCTCGTAGGAAAAGCTGTCAAGAATCTTTAAATGGAAAGAGAGCCTGTTTTCATTTAAAAATCAAAAGTTTATTTTCATATGTGAAGAGGGTACTTTTTAAAAAAGAACCATTTCTATGAATAGTGGTCATATCAGTGTCAAAAGTACACTTTGATCTTTCAGATTACAATGGAGGTTCTCTGCACACAGTCCCAGAGCAATCTCGGCTCTCTGACATCCATTAGCTTATATCATTGCTAAAATATGTTTGTTATCTGCAACTTGGAATTAAATTAAGGTCAGTTTGTGCAGATTCATGGCCTGGAAGGTGAGCACAGAAGTGTGATATCTCCCACTCTCCATTCTCTTCTACCCATGATAGAAATAAAGGAATGGTCAGATTACTTGTGCTTTCTCAATCAACTGCAATTTTGAAAGCAACAGTCTGTCATTATAAAATAATTGTGTCTGGAAGTTACTTCAAGAACCACTATCTTTTAAAGCATATCATTTCTTCTCTGGACAGTATATCAGAAACGTAGATGAGAAAGGATTCTAAAGTCACATTCTAACATAAAGAGAAAAACATATATTTGAATTAGTGCAAAAAAGGGCAAGTTGTAGATTATTTTACAAAAAATAAGTATTGTAGAAAAATACACTAGTATAAAGTAATCATGAACAAATCCAAATCAGACTGAGCAGTACTTTTCTAACACATCAATTATTTGCATGATAAGGCATATTTGACAGCCTCTTCCTTAGGTTCACATTAGTGGACTTAATGCATCTTTTAAAAAACTATAAAGATTGCAAAGGAAATTTTCTAATCCTTATGAAATTATCTCAAATTCATTATTATTTGGATCTCTACAGGCCATCATTTTTATTATGTATTCTCTTTGCCAAAGTACATAGCTTAATATCTTGGTTAACTCTAGGATAGAGCTACCAAGACAGTCTCAATGTTAAATTTGGTGCCCAGTAGTTCCCTACAGTACTCCCAAACTCATTAGGCTATGTGTTTCTCTCTATTTTTTTTCTAAAAACTTGGATTTATAGTGATATGTTGCATCTTTAAAGATCCCAAATTTTATTCTTTCTTTTTCTTGTAACCTTAATAATCATTAATGCTATAATCCTTAATAGTTTAAATACACTGAAAATCTGAAAACTAATCTTGTTCCTATCAACTATAGATGAATCCTAATTGTCCTGTTAGTAGCTAAATAAATATGTAGTGGTGCAAAGAGACTTCTGTGCTTATGTTTTTGTTAACATTTCTTTCTTCCCTTTCTTTTATATGTTGTTTGTTTTTATCTTTTCAAATTAATAACATAATTACAGAACGTCCTTCTTGCCCTCAGTAAGTCTTGGGGCCACCTCTGCATCCATATAAAAAACTGATTTTAGTATAAACTCATGATCTCTGATGTTTGTTCTGCTTGTTGGCATTATTTTGGTTTCTTTATGCCTTGTATATGTGTCTCTTCTCCTACCAACCTTACCTTTCTTCCTACTCTTCTTCTCCACTTCCAATATTGTTTTGTCCTGTTTTGTTTCCTCTTGTCTTACAAGAATAAAAATTACCTGGGCTGACAGAATATTTTAGTAGGCAGACCCTCCAACTATTTTTGGCTTCTCATAGGAAATGGTTTATCTAATGTAAAGACAACAAAATTGCAGATTACAATAATGTGAACAAAATGTCAAGGGTTGAAGTTCAACCCCTTTTACTTTCAGTTCATTGTCTAAAGTATCAGAGAGAAATAAAATGTGAGGCAAAGTACTTAACCTCACTTTGTACTTGGACAGAGTGAAGAAACACTCCAAGTAGTATGTTATTGGAAAATGTACTGTGATGGATGTCTGGAGTGGATAGTACGATCTTTCTATTATCACTTTATTACCAGAATGAAAAGATCAACTGGATATTAGTTATCACCCATTTTTTTAATGTAGTAAAAATGGAAAGCAATAAAAGAATGCAAAATGTCAACCAGTGGCACTTAAGCCTTATTAGATAGCTTTGATCAGGCTGCTGTTTGGCAGGCTACTTAAAAGGATATTAGGAAATTTCTGA